ACTATAAAAACAAAGAATCTGGGAATACTACGAAGACAGTCCTACTAGACAAGCCATCTGAAGCCTCTCAGCAGAGTTACCTTCAACAGATTTCCTCTTTTGTCCACCTGAAGAAGAACAGAGAGATGGGCTCAGATTACGAAAAGATTGAGCTGTTTTGGCCACACAATCTGTTGAAGGTAAGAAATAAGCAAGTTCACTTTGAGTAATCTCTTAAAATAATCGAGATCGATCTATGCATGAATGTCTGATTCTACTCAATCTTGGTTGATTCTTTCGTCACATGCACTGATTAACGATATGTTTGTGAATTGTTGATGTCTTAATCAAATATTTTCACACATCGCTTTTGATGTATTCTTTTCTAGATCCATTAAAATATATAAAACGGCAAATTAACACTTAAACAGAAACAAAGCTCAACAGGCTTATTGAGAATCCTCTCAAAGTCAAAGTAAAAATCGATACTAATGATAAATCTAGCTCTGTGTGTCAGAATGATCATTACAGCGAACGAACATACAAACTACATCACTTTTTAATGTAATGCTGGTAGAAACCGGGAATTCTTCACTTTGCTTTGCTTCGCTTTGTGATTGGTCCAGAAAATTCGCGCCAAATCACTCAGACTCAAGACTGAAATTAATTGCAACTTGATCACTCGCCTTTTCTCCTGTGGCTTCTCATTGGTTGTTGTGATATTTTTCCTATGCTCTGATTGGCCGATGTAACTGACTTTAGGCTTTTTTTTTCGCGGACAATCAATCGAAATGCACTCTGAAGAGCGATACTCAAAGACCAATGTTTTTGTAACATACGTTGTTCTATGTCATCTTTTACGTATCTTTTAGGAAAATATTGTTATAGTTGACAGCCCAGGAGTCGGTGAATCTGCCATCATGGATGACATGGTAAAAGCATATCTCCCAGAGGCTTTCGCTTTTATTTACGTCATCAACAGTGAAAACGCCGGTGGAATACAAAAAGACAGGGTAAGGCCATTAATTTGTTGCCCTAACCGAACTTTGAACTTAACGAACATGATTACCTACTGCGCAGCGATTATGTGACGCATAATATTCCAGAAATTATAGCTTTTCCTGTGTTTTGGCCTCCAGGTAGAAAAACTCATTGAACACGCTAGACAGGTGTCCCTTGACAAACAAAGGGAATCTTCCTCAAATTGTGCTCTGTTCGTTTGCAACAAGTGGGACCAGGTGCC